ACCAACCATAAAAAAATAATAAAAATAAAAATAAAAATAAAAATAAAAATAAAAATAAAAATAAAAATAAAAATAAAAATAAAAATAAAAAAATTACCGGATTTAAGGGTAAGAAAAGTCCAGGCCATGAATTTTTATTATCAACCCGAACGATATCGAAAATTTGCTAAATGTTTTCATCGGTTAATCGTTTCCGGGTAATGATAGACAAAGATATGTTAGATAGACAAAGACATAGTATGTCAGTATAGTAAACAGGGAGCAACTTACAATAAACTCAGTGGACCGGTCGAAAAGGTAAAGATCGTACCCTTTCACTCTTGTTTAAATAACCTGGGTTTACAAGTAGTAATGGATAAACGCCCTGGGCTGTCATAAAATGTGTCCCAACATCTAGCGCACATTTGTTGGGTCAAATGTTTAGATTGATCTTTTTGCATGGTCTGCCAACAATGTTGGATCAAAACATAGATAGTAGTTAACTGTGATCGAAATTTTGRCTACAAATGTTGGGTAACGTCGAATGCCGTGTTAAATGCTAGCTGAATTTTGTGTCAGGAATGATTTCAGGGCCATTATCGGGTCTTTGCAAAAGGATATGGGATTACGGAAGCTTATGCGTTAAATGATTCCTTGTACAGCCAAGGGCGAATCCAGCCAAAATTATAGGGGAGGGGCTCATTGAGTTTAGGGGGGCTAATTGAGTTTCTTCCGTCACAACGGAAAACAATATAAAAAAGCATCGTTTTTTACTGCTGAAGGGGGGAGGGACTTCAGTCCCCCTTTGCTTGCCCCTGGATCCGCCCTTAATAGCCTCTTTACATATCAGTTTATCGTTTTACTGATTGTGCTGAATGTACTGAGCATGCAAGTATGATCCAAGCGAACCAAGAGAGGCAGATAAAAAGATAAATTTGAATGACGTATTTATATTTTCTTTTCTGGTCTGATTATTTTGATTATGTGTCTTGCCATTGTTGTTATATAGAATATCAACCGATAGATACAGAGCTGACATCGCAAATAAACTGTACAACAGCAAATAAAACATTCAAAATATTATGTAAGGCAGACGCATCACCATCAGTGCAATACTTCATCCAACAAGGGAACAAAACAATGGTCAATTCCTCTGATGGTAACGCCACAATTACTACATCAGAGAATGGATATCTTAATTTCAGTTGTAGTGCAAAGAACAAATATGGACAAGGAAAAACAGCGCATCTTGAAATACCAATCTGTCGTAAGTAGCAGTCTTAATTCTCTTTAGATATTGATCTTTTGGAAGGAAAAAAAATCATCACATTTATTAAAAATGTCATTATAAGGAGCATTACTTATCATGTTTAGAAAATTGCACTACACCTTTTCAATACGCTAGCGCTTGCCCAACGGCTTTCACTCTGAATAATAATCGACAAGAAAATGAACCAATCAATAATGATAATAATAATAAGTATATGTAATAGGACTTCATGCTGTCCAATTAAGAAGTAATTKGACGTGGAAAATTCCGAGGACTGACAAAATTGGATGAGGCCGTAGGCCGAGTCCAATTTGGCAGTCAGAGGAATTTTTCGAGTGTAATTATTTCTTGATTGGGGAGCATGAAATCCCATTACCTATTAATTATATAGCTGCTTAATTAATCCCATATCAACAAGACCTGTCCAATTAAGAAAATAATTGGACAGTTACCTATATGGGATTAATGAGAAGCTGTTATGATACTTGTTGTCCAAATAACGCGTTCAGTTCTTTACTTAGATTTTCGTCATGAGCGCCTAAGAAGGCACAAACATTAATATTGACAATTGTTTTTCTTTTCCTTTTCATTTTTTTAAGGAGATAACTTGGAAGATAATGGTATGTCTTTATGTGATCAACACGATCAACACATTTGAACCTTAAACTCATTAGATTTAAAACTGAGTACTTTACATGTGCATTAATCCACTGAAGAAAGAATGGATAGTTTGATATTTTGTTTGCTCACTTCACAACAGTCAATCAGAATAAGCAAAGCAATTCAATCAACATTTAGAATTAAAAGAGGCATTAGAACATATTGTTTGTTTTC